CGAAATAGGGTGAATACATCTCATTACACTGATTTACTGGTAGTCTCGAAACCCTACTCACATACGAAAAGAGTAGATACTTGTGAAAGGAGGGTGCAAACTCGCAAAACAAGGCATCAACCCGCAATCGTTCGATTAATTGACTCCCAGTTTGCCTGAGGATTGTATCCTCTGCGTTCCCTTTCAATGCTGACTCAGGCACGCACCGACCCAGGGTCCACAATAATGCTACCTTCCATTTTATCGACTCAACGAATCTCAGGGACGCTGACTATGCATAAGACATGTTTTGTGGACTGCACCAACCTGAATGTCGTATTAAAACCGAACCTACAAATATGATTTTCCTTAATTACTTCTCAAATCATACTTATGGTGTTGAGGTTAGAGTTATCAAATCAATTATAGTAAAATGTTTGCGTCTAGCAGACGTAAATAGCAAGGATCAAGAGCTATAAAGGCGAAAAAACTCTTTGTTGAGAACAATCATCCGTTGGGATTGATTGCTAATAATGTCAACATACAAAGAAATAGGATGAAAGAAAGCCACCACTTCTGGCAAGACAGGGAATAAAGCACCTACTCCTTCAGGTTCCCGATGTCACCGTCCTGTCAGATTTAGAGAAATGTAGAATTACTGAGGTAATGGAACATCAGGATCATGTCTTCTTTTGGAGAATATAAAGATCTTATCTGCAGATCAGGTTATTATTAGGCCTTGCACTCATGTGGCAGTGTCTATATGAAGAGGGATCCGTCGACCCACACAAAAGAGCTTGTCAGAACACAAAACCAACCACAAAGATTTATGAATTCGGAGAACGGAAGTGGCTAAATACATGGCCACGGCAGAACAGATGGCGGTCTAAAACCCAATTTCTTGCTTGATATGTGGACTTCACGGATCAGGGAGTCGAACAAGATCAACAAAATAAAAGACATCCTGAATAAGAGAAACAAGTATAGGAAACTAAATAAGAATGAAGGAAGAGAGGCAACAGAAATAGCAACCGATTAAGATATTTGCCTAATCCGGAGTCTGGTTTGGGCTCGTAATTGCAAAATTACTCATGAATATTGCATGAACACAAGGAGAACGCACCCACAAAGCTAAAACAAACCTCAGTATTACAGGATCATAAACTAGTCTATTTACACCGAATCCGCTCTCCTTTTACTACACCAACTTCATTCGTTTACATGCATATAGGGTAATCGTGAGGTGATCAACCAAATCGTGAGAGGCCTCATTAAGATCACAGAGTTGGGTATAAGAATTAAGTAGAATTTCAGCCGGCCACTTTGCCTGGCACAATGCTTTTTGGTTAATGTTCGTGATAGTTTCTGGCCCTGACGATACCCGTCACATAACGGATGAAAGCTGAGCACGAATTCATCGAGGTCACAGGACGGTAAGCCGTCTTCTTCGCACAATCGAAGAGTCACAAGTACAAGGAAATCTTTTTCAGTGTCCTGTGAAGCCAATCTACGAATCACTTCCACCCGCGTTTTCGAACGAAATAAAAGGTATTTCAACACTAAAACAAAAATGGCTGCAGTACAACGGAAATCGTGCGTCGCATTCTACTGAGTTAAGCCATTTGTGCTAGTGCCACCGATAGTGGCCAATTTACAGCCATCCTGGAGGCATCGCCGAAGTAGGGAATAATTACCATACACTTTAAATAAGTTCAAATATTATAGGATAGACAAGAATATACCAGCGAATGGGACCTTCACTCATATTATATCTTATATTTGAAAATAATGATTCCCAATTATACGTTATTAAGTAGAAAAAAAGCAGATAAATAAGACGACATCTACCAAGTTAAGGCCCTTAGGTGTTTATCAAATTAAACAAACCAGCATTAAATTGATTATTTTTATGTAAATTATAACTTAAGCCTATCGATAAAACAAGTTGTAATCACGCTTCTGGCTTAAAATACACAAATCGACTAAATGTAAAAGAAAAGTTAGACGCCTTAATTACTTAAAAATGGAAAATTAAAAGTCAAATGCCTAAAACGCCATAGTTTCAATACGAGTACAGTAATCGTGTAAAATATGTATTTATTTCAAAATTTTTCACAAATTTAGTTATATTAAATAGATCCAAATAGCTGTCAGTCCGTCTGAACTGCCGAATCTCGAGACAAGGTTTCAAATGATGGCTTCTGTGCTCAATTTTTGCGATTCCTTACCAGACACCACAGCAACTAAGGGAGGATCATTTGGCTCTACGACCGCTCTTCGGATAGGGGGTAAGGGGTCCAGGCCACAGAGGCGCATTAAATGTAGGCGCTCATATCGGTCCAGATAGTGACGAAGCGTCTTGAGGCCACGCCAACCGGCAAAAGCAAGTGGACACCGAGGAAGCTAAAAGGTAGAAGGGTAGGATGCTAATTTAGATCATACTTTTTTTTAAAGTTCCAATGTGTGCAAAGCCAACAATAATTCGGTGGAAATATCGTATCAGGAGTCCTGTAAAAATAATAAACTCAATCATAAAAAGATAAGAGTACTAAAAATTATAATTGATACTCTCTCGAAACCATCCCAAAAATATAGAATTATAGAATCAAATAAATAGCATGAGATGATTTAGACATAAAGCAGGCAAGATGAAAGGCAACCAGAGTACAACCTTATTTTTCATTTTTAAGTATGGTTTTGAGACTATCAGATTCACAGAGCAAATGGAAAGGTAGCCAAGGCAAATCTTTACCTGCCGTTATACGCAATGAAATTATAACATAAGAAAGCCTTTCGAAGAACCTTTCTAAGTAAAATGCGATGGTGGCGTGATGCCTTTGGTTTATTTAATTGAGGAAAATATAAATATCAATCGCCAGATCGCCAAAGTCTGCTCTGATTCATAGGAATGAGTAAAGGAATGTTTTGAAACCTACCTATTTGGTCGATGCAAGTACCAATAACAGTAAGGAAAGCAAGACAAGTAGTAGTTACAGTTAGGGAGATATTAAAATCAGAATGACTTACCATCACATCAGAAGTATTGTCCTGTTGCTCCTGGTCACTTGAGGCGCTACGACTCGAGGCCGGTCGGTACTCGATAAGCACAGGACCCATCTCCATTTTCTCCCATTTCTCTTGGAGTTCAGGCGACATAGAAGCGACTAAGGGCATTTCTTCACGAAGTAGAACGTGCAGATCATTGCGATGGGCGTCGCAGTTGCCGTCGAGGTAAACGCGGCGCCTGGATCCAACAAACATATCAGCAAGATGGATGCCATCCTGTAAGAGGCGGTAGCCACGAAATTGTTTGTCCTCGGTCACCGTAAAAAGACGGACGCCAGTGTTAACAAAGCGGATACCTGTAAGAAGAGGAAAATATTAAGGAGACTGGCGAGGAATTCAAAAGAGTAAATAGAAAGCAAGTCACTAACAAGTTAAGGACGTGATGTTAGAAAATAACACGCGCAAGACGTAAATCGCCTGGTGCCGGACGAAGTATGGCTGGAATTTTCTTAAGACCAAATAAAATGAAGGCATGGGAACAAGAGGAGCTATCCAAAACCGTAGAGTATTGATCAACTGAGATATTCTGTAACAGAGAACGTAGATATAGTGAGGCATATTTTTGACAGAGCAAAGCCGTGTTTGACTAAGAGGGGAATAGATAAGGAAGGTATTATATTCACTATCATATAAACTTGCCTGCATATAAGGAGGAAAACAGACCACCATCGAGTTTATAAGCAGGCAAGGATTTCGCCTCAGGATTGTCCGACATCACATTTAGACGAAATGTGATGAGAATACACACGGAAGGCTTTAAAGGGATGAAAAGCGGGTTTAGAAAAGCAACCGGCCGTAGAGGCGCCTGGAGTATAAATAAATACTCGAAAATGAAATTTCAAGTCAAAATACTAGAGAACTGCTAATGGAGACTAAGCAAGTTTATTAAAAATTATTGATAAAAACGGCGTATGATGGAGTAAAGCCAAATTAAGAGAAATTTTCATGAGTGAACCCAAAGCGTTGGGTGAAGGCTCTGCTGAGACTAAATCAAATTTTGCTATAGAACGCCTGCCCAGTCAAGAAATTCCTTCC